CTTTTATTATTATTATTATTATTATTATTATTTTTTGTTTTGTAAATACTACTACTACTACTACTAGAAATAAAAGTTTACCATATATAGAATTTATTTATTTATTTTTTTTTTTTGAAGGAAAAGATTTTAGGTTGCCATTTTTTTTTTTTTTTGCCACATTTCTGAGTCTTTTTATTTATTTAATTTGAATCGATAGATCGATCGATAAAAGTAACGCCAAAAAAGAAATTAAAAGAAACTCAGGTTAGGATTACGAAAAGAAAAGAAAGAAAAATTAATTTTTTTTTATTAATAATAATAATAATAATAATAATAATAATAAGTTTTATTATCATTTGATAGCAATAGATAGAATATAAATGGGAATTTTTTTTTCTTTTTCGGTGAAAATTATATAATATATATATATTTTTTTTCTTCTCTCGTTCGAATTCCATATTGTTATGAGATGAAATATTTTTGTATATATACGAAAAAATATTATTATTATCGTGTTATTTATATAACGATGATGATGATAATAATTATTATTATTTTTTTTAAAAATAAAAACAAAACGTTTATTTATTTATTTATAAAAAAAATTTACGACGAAAAAAAAAAATATATATATAAGTTAATTTTTAAAAAAAATTAATTATTATTATTATTATTATTATTATCATTATCATTATTATCGTTCAGTCGTAAGTTAAAAAATGTACAAACGCAAGTTCAAACCAAAAAATTAAATTTACTTTTCCCTATTTTTTTTTTCATTTACTCTTTACGCTTTTTTTAAAAAAAAAATTTATTATCGTTCCTTATTATCATCATCACCATCATCATTATTATTATTTATTTATTACGTAATAAATTTTTTTAAAAAACGTAATAATAATAATAATGATAACAACGTTTGTTTTTTTTAAATCGAGAAAGTATCATTACTTGGATAGCAATAATTTTTTTTTTTTACCTTTACATAAAAGATTTTACAAGAAAAAAAAATTTATTATTATTATTATTATTTACTTATTTATTTATTAATTTTATTAATTTAATTAATAAATTTAAAAAGAATAAAAAAAAAGTATTCTTTGTTTTTATTATAAGAAAACTAATTGGGAATACAGAGAGAGTAATGAGTATCAAAGAGTATCAAAGAGAGAGAGGGGGGAGGGAAGGGGAGGAGAGGGGCGGGGAAAAGGAGGAGGAAGAGAGGGGGAGGGGAAAGGGAGGAGGAGTAATAAAATTTTGTAAATAATATCCTTTTTAAAAATAATAATAAAATTTTGAAATGTAACGTTTCGACGTTAAAAATATATATATATATATATATTTAAAAGCATTATTTATAATTAAAAATTGAAATCGAGTTTTAATAATAATATTAATATTAATAATAATAATAATAATAATAATAATAATGATAATAATAATAATGAATAATATAAATATGTAAACACACACTGACATCTTTTGATTTGAAAAAATTCAATTAATTATATAAATATATATTTTGCATTAAAAAATAGGGTGATGACGTCAGTGTGTGTGTGTATGCGTGTGTGTAAAAAAACCCAAGAGTAAATAATAATAATAATAATAGTATTAATAATAATGATTATTTTTATTTAAAAAATAATGATAATAAGGATATGATAATAAATTATAAAAGGAAGGAAGAAAGGAATGTTCTTAACATTCTTTTTTTTTCTTTTTTCGGTTTGGTTTTACTTGTGTGCGTTATTAATAATAATAATAATAATAATAATAATGATAAAGATACGAAAGGATTGAAGATTATATTTGAGTCTTACGTTTTTAATTAGTTGAAAGATAGAAAAAGAGATAGAGATAAAGAGAGAGAGAGGTAAGGATTTGTAATATATTTTTTTTTCTAATTAAAAATAAATAAATGATAATAATAATAATGATTACGTGTGTCGTCGTTTTGAATATGGTGCCTAAAACGTAAATTCTCGTATAAAATAAATAAATAAATAAAATTATTTTTATTAATTAATAAATAAAATTTAATTTCTTTTACCCTAAAAAAAAAAA